TCATGCAACAATTTGACTAGTGGTCTACTTGCACACAAGTCTCAGTCTACATTCAATTTACCTATGTTGTAAGGAAAACATTCAATTTTTGGTTGAGACTATATGGGATGAGATTGAAATGTATTTAATGGGTTCCAATCCCCGAAATCACTTTTATTCTTTCTAATTAATAACTAAATTATCTCTATTGACTAAGGTGCTCAGAATAAAAGTGACATTAATTGATTCATCACCTGTTTTGGTAGCATTATTCAATGAAAAAGTAAATCAAAATGAGCATTAATATCTTCATGTCCCTTTACATATACGTTTCTATCTAAGTGAAAAGTGGTCAATGCACGCGCTCGCGCGCACACAAATGTATGTAAGTTTTTAACTTTTTTTGTCAAATAGCTAACAACTTCATTCAGAAAAGACGAGATGTTCAACTAAAATGAGTTATCTGAAGCGATACAACCTATGTAGAGTGAGTTATTTCCTACTTGGATCCACAGTCAAATGGCAACAAAACACCATTGATATCTTGCTTGAGTTTAAACTCGTTGAGTATTAAAACACGTACGAGGAGTCAACAAAAGAAATAATCACATAGTTGAACAAAGCAGTTCCTCGACGGAGAAAGAAAAAAGAAATTAAAAAAGACAACATCCGACAAATTCTTACTTTACCCACGAGGATAATTAACTATCGAATCTTTGAGATTCAACGAATCAAACCATATTAAGTCGACCAGAACAAAAAATTTAAACTTCAAACCTTAAAATATGCAAAACAAAAAATGACCATAAAATATAGATGTTGAATTATTGAAATATTATTTTGAACTTATGAAATATAAAATCTTACACATGCAAATGAAAAAAGAATCAACATTAGAATTTAGAAACATTTAAACCAATGATATATCAAGAAGTTGAAAAAACTTTTGCATGCATAAAATCTCTTGAAGAAATGCATAAATCTATCTTTTGCTAATTAAAAACAGTAGATCATAACAAGAAATTATTGTCAGATACATATTTTTATTAAGCAAGCAGATTAAAAAACCAGAGACAAATGTGCATTACCAGATTCTTGTACTGCTGTAACATTACCGCTCTGAAGGTTAGAAGTTCCACCTCCTTGTTCCATTTTCGTGCTCTCTCTCTCTCTCTCTCTCTCTGTCTCTCTGTTGAATCCTTTTTTGTTTGCCTCACACCCTCAGACACCTTTTCTTTTGCTCTTCCTTGGTTCTAATTGTGCATTTATAGGTGATTTGTGGGGTCGAAAGAAAATTTATTTGATGTGTAGTAGTGGTCTCAAACTTTTGTATAAGTGGGCAACTGAGTTCCAATTAATTTTTTTAGGCCAATTTGGTTTTATTAAAAATCAGACTTTTAGTATGTCCTTATTTGATTCTCATTATTTTTAAAATACGTTTTTCTCTCTTTTTTTAAAGTGCACATTTTTTAATAAAATAATATTACAGGTAAATCCAAAAAAAATTCTTATTTTTCAATCACACATTCTTTATCAATCCATTATTTCAAAATGCATTCTTAAGAAAAAAATGGGGCTCAAACATACTCTATATGTTGATAAAGATGATTAAATATATGGTTGAAAAATTGATAAAATTTTTGGATCTTATAAAATGTGTAGTTAATATTAATTGTTTACTTTGACTTAAATTTTTATCAACTTTTTTCGCTAAATCAAGATAGATCATTATTCTGTCATTTTCATAGCACTCAAATTTCTATCACGAGATGTATCCATTGTAAAGACTTGTAATTTATACGAGAAATATTGTTTCAAGACTAAAAAGAGTAAAATAAAATAATTTTTATAAAATGAAAAAAGCAAAAAAATAATTTAAAAAAAAAAATCGTCTTATTTCCCACCTATTAAGCTTAAAGGTGATTTGTCAAGCTTGTGCTCCATATTTATAGCGTGTCTGGGAGAGCTTTTTCAACCAAAAAATTCATTTTTGAATCGTTAGAAAGCAATTTAAGTAGCCATTGTTGACTTTGTTACACACAGGTGGGACCTAATTGTTGACTCCAACGATCAATTTTTTGCTTGAAATCTGCTGAAAATCCCTTCCAGACACAGCCTTAGTTGCTCTAAAAGGCACAATACATGACAAGGCAGGAAGGTAACTATCAAACACATTAAGGCCTTGTTTGATTTGGCATTATTTTCCATGGATGATGGAGATTAAATTTTATTTTCACATTTTTGCATGTTTGATTAACTAAATTTTCCATGGAATTAGTTTTCCACATTTTCTTGATTTTTGATGAAAAGTTTTTCGCATGAGTTTGGTGGGAAAGGTTTTTCTAAGCAACTTTTTTTTTTTTTTGCAATGGAAACAAATTCTATCCCAATTGTAACAAATTGTATCTCTTTAATGGACAATTTCCTTGAAAAACAAAACCAAACAAATACCAAAAAATCCAAAATTTCAATATTTTTCAGGTGAAAATTATACCAATCAAACACAATTAATTGACAATTTCTCAATAAAACAAGTTATATGTAATTCAATTCCCTAAAATTCATTTTCTTTCTACTCAATTCCATTCTTACAATCAAACGGACCCCAAGAGTCTAGATGTGCCTAGACGAAGTATATATATATATAACAGGATGATTCCTATTATTATTTTAAGGATAATTAGCACGTAACGTTCACATCTTTCACTGTTATTGTGAAAAACGTCATTACCTTTTATTTTTTGGCATTTTCACATTTATTTTCACATTTCATTGCTCAAAATGTCATATTTATTTATTTTCTCAATTAAAAATTGTAAAATGACGAATATACCATTCTCTTTAAATAAAAGAAAAAAAATTAATTATAACCATAGTCTCAAATTTTTCTAAACAGCGCAAATGAATCACAAATAAATTATTAAAGAGGTAATTAGCACATAATATCCCTACATTTCATTATTTTAGCGGAAAACGTCCCTACGTTTAATTTTTTTTTTTTTTTTTGGCATTTTCATTCGTAATTACACATTTGATGGCGCAAATCATCATTTCTATCCATTTTCATCCAATTTCTCAATAAAGAGTCGAGAAATGATGAATATACACTCATATTTAAATTAAAAAGTTAAAAAATTAATTACAACAACAGTCCCAATTTTTTTTAAAGAGAGTAAATGAGTCTCAAATAAATTATTAAAAAATTACAAGTTAATTTTTTTTTAAAGTGCAAACGAGACCCAAATAAATTATTAGAAAATTAGAACTAGTTTTTTTTTTTAAAAAAAAGTACAAACGAGTCCTAATTAAATTTATTAAAAATTTTAAAAGTGCAAACGAATCCCACATAAATTATTTAAAAAATTGAAATTTTAAAAATTCATTTTAATAATAGAGTATATTCATCATTACACAACTCTTTATTGAGAAATTAGATGAAAATGAATAGAATGGATGGTTTGAGCAATAAACGGTGTAATTAAGGGTGTAAATGTTAAAAAATGAAAGATTGAGACGTTTTCCGCTAAAATAGTGAAAGGTATGAATGCTAATTACCCTTTAATAATTTATTTGAGATTCATTTAAGTTTTTTTTTTTACAAATAAATTATTAGAAAATTAGAACTAGTTTTTTTTTTTAAAAAAAAGTACAAATGAGTCCCAATTAAATTTATTAAAAATTTCAAAAGTGCAAACGAATCCCACATAAATTATTAAAAAAAATTGAAATTTTAAAAATTCATTTTAATAATAGAGTATATTCATCATTACACAACTCTTTATTGAGAAATTAGATAAAAATGAATAGAATGGATGGTTTGAGCAATAAACGGTGTAATTAAGGGTGTAAATGTTAAAAAATGAAAGATTGAGACGTTTTCCGCTAAAATAGTGAAAGGTAGGAATGCTAATTACCCTTTAATAGTTTATTTGAGATTCATTTAAGTTTTTTTTTTTAAAAAAAAAAAATTGGGACTATGGTTTCAATTAGTTTTTCTTTTTCTTTTTCTTTTTCTTTTTATTTACAGAGAGGGTATAGTCGTCATTTCACAATTTTTAATTGAGAAAATAAATGAAAATGACATTTTGCTCAATAAAATGTGAAAATAATGGTGAAAATGATAAAAAATGAAAGGTATTTTCCACAATAACAATGAAAGGTAGGGACGTTACATACTAATTACAATTACTTTAATTATACTAAGATCATGAATAGTTATTTGAATAGACCAGTATTTTAATTATTTTAATCAAACCATTAATAATTATTCTTTTTACTAAATTAGTTTATTTAATCTTTAAAAAATAAAAATAAAATGGACAATTTTTTTTAAAAAAAAATGTGAGCATTTTTTGGCACCTACGCGCATTAAATGGTCAAAATAGCACCTACGCGCATTAAATGGTCAAAAGTAGCATTGACACCTTTCCATGCCCATGCAAGGCTTTTCCTCGCACTTAGGTTCCGCCTTTTTTTCTACCTTTTAGATCATTGGATACAACAATTGTCCACCAAATCAAAGTTTGTCATAAAGCCTTACCATTCTAACCGAGGTGGTCCCCCAGACTACTCGAATCCCATCGATATCATCTTTGTTACAAGAAGGTTCGTTTACAGTGAGTGAGTCAAGAACCCTCAATCTTACTCACATAGTTGTGCCTCGGAGCCATTTAGTATTTAGATAATCTCATCAAGATTTCCACTCAAGGTTTGTCCATGGAGACTGAGTCAAGACCATAGACAGCAAGTCTATGTTAATTTCTTGACGATAGTGGAAAGAACATAAACAAATGACATGAACAAACTATGGAAACAATTATATTCTCATTTGGTTTCTGCAATTCTTGAGCTACAAAGTCTTGTCATTGTTGCTGATTTTTCATATTCCTATTTCCTATCATCTGGCAAACTGACTGTTAAAAAATCCAGCCCCTACACTTTAACATCTGCTCCTACAAATTGGGAAAAGAAAAACGAACGAAAATCTATCTATATGTCTATGAAACTCTACCAGAACTGAATCACCTTTTATGCGAATTATCGTGCTTTTGCACCTTTGATTGCTTACCAGATGTCCTTTTGTCGTATTTACCTTCATTGCGCCTTTTCGATGAGCCATTACTACGAGAAGAGACTTCAAAAGGTCCTGAGGAACTTTCGAATTCAACAATATTGGTAACAACTGCATGGACCATGATATCACTTTTGGGTACTAACACAGCTTTCCTCTCGATAACTGCTGTCTGCCCACAGCGTGGATCCTCGATGGCTTTCTCTCTTAGTTTCTGAAATACAGTGTCCTTATCTTCCTTAAAACATTCTTTTGAAACCTGCACACATATGCTATCACGATATCAGTTGAAAATAACAAATGCTGCAACAAAATCAGATATTCACATTGCAAAAACAACTACCACTTAATTGGAAATTGTCACAATTTATAAAGCGCCGAGCCACAAATACGGTGTAGAATAAAAGAAAAATGTTAAAAAATAAAAATATAATTTACACCTAACGTTAGCTGAACAAAGGTGAATTCTCACCCCAAAATCAACTGGAATCTTGAGTTCCATGTATGAACACTTACAACCGGCGCTGAAGTTCAGTTTCAACAGAATATCAAAAGGCTTCACAGACCTCACTGTCCTCCTGATAAGTAATAGAAATTAGAAATATAAATGTAGCATAAAAAACATAAATAAGTTGCTGTCTACCTACTTTCTACTATTTCCACAAGGCATTTTAGACTACTTGACTCAGTAATCTCTTATAGCATCTCCAATAATGCTCTTTATTTTAAAGAGCAACTTAAGGAATTTTTAAAAATAAAAAGTCAAACTTTTAGACAACTTCAATGCCACTCTCTATATTCATTCATTTGTTTTTTTTCCCATGAGCAGTTATTGTTCATCATTTTCCCTTTTTTTTTATTACCTAAAAATTAAAGAAATGAATAGAAAATTGGGCAATAATAAATTAAGCATTGTATAGAGAGTGGATTCAGCTCAAGTCAAATCCACTCTTTATTTTGATTTTTGAAGATAAAGAGCATATTGGACAACTTAGAGGTTCGACTCTCTAAAATAGAGAAAATTAGACGAAGAAAGAGCCTATTGAAGATGCTTTTACTGTTAGCACAGTTGGAATTCAGATTTATAACCAGTGAAAAGTTCTTCAAATGCAGCTCTATATCATCTTAACGTTTATCGAAGCTTCTTAGCATTGAACAAATGGATCGGATAAAAAATTGAATTTCGTAACATAGAAGTCCTATAGAACCTCGTACCAAGATTCAACAAGCCTCCTCAACTGCAAGCCAAATTATTTTTATATTGATAAATAAGAATACATAAATGGGTTGGCAGCGAGACTTGAACCAACATCTTTTCTTTGTTAATACCATATTGAACCATCTCATCTAAAAGTTTAAGTTGTCAAATAGAATTACCGTATTTATTTAAATTTTATCCTTTAACACTCTACAACAATTTGGCACTATTTCAAAACAACTAGAAAGTCCTCAAATTAAAAAAATATTTGTAATTTACAGTGATATATTCTGCACTTCGATTGGAGAGTGATTTCAGCCGGCTAAGTTCATTCTGCATTAAATAAAAGAGCGATGTACCTTTTCAGATCAAGTGGTTGCTTATCTAGAACTGCTGCCTTCATATTTAGACTTTCAGAGAAGGAGACCTAAATACAGAATGCCACAAAAAGTTTACTGACAACCCCAAAAATTAACAAAGACGTGCCAACACATTAAATTCATGATAACAAGTAAAAAAATATACAATATTTGTACCAAATAATGAATCTAAAATACTAAACTCTTGAGTAAGTGGCCTCAAATAACCCTCAAACTATTTAAAACACCAGTAAATAGACTAAAAGACATAATCATGGTTAATTTGAATTTAGTTATCGTAACATTGTGCTCGCTGTAAAAAACAAAAAAGATCGGACTCCACAAATCACCATAATTCATTTTTCTCTTACAAATCCATATTTGTTCTCATGTGACAATTAACAAAGAATTTATGTAGATTAGGTGCAAATCCTAGAGTGCTCTGGGTAAAGAGACGTCGGGTACACAAGTGACAAGTGAGTATGGAGAATCTTTTCTGGAGATGAAAAGGGGATTTTGGGGGTAGATTTTGGAATTGAAGACCAAATAGATTTGGTATTATGCATATAGTCAATCAGGATGAAAGAAAGGAAATTTATTTGTGAAATGCAATTCGGATTGGCCAAACATGTAAATCATGTACATGCAATCATCTTTATTTTGGTGTTAATTGTTGGTTTCTCTCATTCAATCCACATGTATCCAATTAAGAGAAGGGAATAACATATATACAAAGAAAGTCATGAGATCACCTTGACAGATTCAACAAAAGGCAATGGAACTTTCTTCCCATGCACACTCTCTACCCTGAGATTCCAGTTCACATATTTTTTATCTGCAAAAGAAGAAAGAGAGAAGCATCACTAGTACATGTACAAGTATAACATTAAGAACTCAAATGCAGAACAAAGATATTTGATTAGAAAATATGAAGATAAAAAATGGATTGGATAAAAAATTGAACTCAAATTATTTTTATATTGATAAATAAGAATACATAAATGGGTTGGCAGCGAGACTCGAACCAACATCACTAGTACATGTACAAGTATAACATTAAGAACTCAAATGCAGAACAAAGATATTTGATTAGAAAATATGAAGAAAGAAGAAAGAATGACCAGAAGAAGTAATCAAGGGAAGTTACCTAGACTTAAACTCTCAGTTAAAACAATCTGAAAAAGATCAATTCTAACAAAAGGAGGGACATGTAAATTGAGCATGTTCATGACTCCTGCAATCACCTGTTTGAGGTCATGTTAATGAGCAATTCCATATAGACGCAGAGAAAACACAAGAATTTACATAAAAGCCAAGAATCTATGAGGATAAAAAATTGAAATGCTAGGTCAGAAACTGTGCAGAATGGGCTTTTGTCACAATAAGTGAATTTTGTTTGATAAAGATGATTACATATGTTTCAAAGAAAAGTAGGCTAAAATCTTGTTGATTATAATTCCAATCCTACCTAATGCTTTCTACCAACATTCTAAAAGCCTAGCAAGGTCAAGCCTCAAGCCTTAACAACCCAGATGTCGAAGCCCAGGTGTAAAAAGATGTTTTCCTATTTTTAAATATTAATTTAATTATTCTAATACCATTAATAATTATTTTGATAAGAACATTATTTTTATTAATAATTGTTCGATTTATCTAATTAATTTATTTAACCTTTGAAAAATCAAAAATAAAAATTGGACAAAAAATATAAAAGCGCGCTCCTTTTGGTGCCTAGGCCCTCGATTAGGTGGTCAAAAACAAAGTTGATGGCCTTTTTCATGCCCTCCCTATATAAGCAAGGCTTTTTCCTTCAGCTTCACGCCTAGGCCTCGCCTTTTCCCACCTTTTAGAACACTGTTTTGTAACAAACACAACGCTTTGAACGCATAAATCCAATTTTACTTTGAGTAAAATCTTTCATAGATTTCTGGATAAGTTGGCCAAGGGCAGTTAGCTGCTATATTTTCTTTCATGTACACCTTATGTGCTTTTTTTTTATCAAATAAAGTTTTGTTTATTAATGCAAAAAAGATAGGGAAGAAATATTTTCTTGGATTGGCCAAGGGCAGTTAGCTGCTATATTTTCTTTCATGTACACCTTATGTGCTTTTTTTTTATCAAATAAAGTTTTGTTTATTAATGCAAAAAAGATAGGGAAGAAATATTTTCTTGGATTAAAATTCAGCAAGGCAATACCTTGTCTACAGGTCCATGGATCACCAAACTTGCTTTCTTGTCCTTTGGGGTTTCCTATAAAATTAGAATATATACCGTAACTCGTATTTATTCATTAATCTCCTGGTGGCACATGTTACAATGTGACCCATATACTGTAGAAGAAATAGAAAATACCTGAAGATTCACAATTACAATCTCACCCCTGCCCCGTAGACACTTTAGAGGCAAATTACATGCAGGCGTAATCTGCAAACTGCGCAAATTAACGCGCTTATAATGTTGAATTAAATATGAAATAGAGAATATTTTAAATACTCAAGTCTGTCAAAATTTCCCAAGAAATACAAAACAAGAGTGATTTTGAGGTCCACTACAAGAAGATTGCTGCAATCAATGGAAACAATATAGGCATTACAAGTTACAGAAACAGTAGAAATTCGTCGACTTTCGGAAATCGATATTTATTTAAGACATTCCACTTAACCTCTAATCTATGTCAATTTTGAAGTTATAGGGAACTAACCATAAATTACAAAATTTGAAACAGCATTGGGTGATTGTGAAAGCCCAACTCCTATAATGATCATAATTTTGAAAAGCGAAAAGGCATTACGTTTTTATGATACAGTGTGACCCCTCTAAATTAATACTATCTATTGCACGGTAATTTATTAGTGGGGGTTATTAATTTGTAGAAAATCTACATAAAAAATTATTTCATGTATATTTGCTAATGCTACTACATACTTCTAGGTAGATAGAAAGTCTTCCATTATTAAAAATTAAGTGCAAGGAATCTTTGAAGAGGAAAATCAAGAAATTGAAGAAAGTCAAGAGGAACAAGCAATACAAAAGAACTTATAACTGCAATTGATCATCCTCCAATTTACCACCCCATGTCTATTAATGCCCTCTTAAATTCAAAGGAGGAGCAAATTGATTATGAGGAAATACCGGTGAAGATCTTATGTAATTGCTTCATCACAAGAACATCATGACGAGGAAGTCGAAGAAGATATGGATGTCCCCCCTTTGCCTAACAAAGATAAGTTAGATACCTTTCATTCACGTATTTCTTTTCTTAGACTTCCAAATCCTAACTACGTTGTAGCTCGTAAGGTACTCCAAGGTATACAGTTCGAGATCAAGACAACCTAGAAGAAACAAGCTTCTCTAAATAGATAGTTCTCCAAGGAATGTTTTGCTATTTTTTTAATTTAATTATTAGATATCAAAAATAATAAATTATGCCTATAGAAAGCGGTCGGTTTCATGAACTTTTATTAAATGTCAGAGGTTATTAATTATAGGACTATAAATTTAGAGAGGTCATAGTGTATATTATATGACACTTGTCTTTACATATGTATTGATTATGGCCCTCATTACATGAACTCCTAGCCCCACCTCTGCCTAATGTCAAGTAGCTAGAAGTTTAGAAGCTGGAAACTAATAATGAGGTTACTGTAAATTTTAATTATCCAAAGCTCGTTCAGCCATGACAACATTTGATAACCAAGGAAGGAAGCATGTCAAAAGGCTAAAACATAACATTGTAACCTGAAATTTCTATCATAGCCACAAAAACAGTTTAGAATTAGAGAATGATTAGCTGTACATAGAAGTTACTTCTTTAGACATGAGTTAAGTAATATAGAAAAGTAAGTTTTGTTAGTGGCAAAAAGAAACTTTGAAAGTCGTGTTTGGCAAAATGAGTACCTTAAAGTAAGTTTGATTTACTTTTAAGTACAGTCAAACATGTTGGTATGAGTTCTTTGCTTGAGAAAAAATAAACTAGCAAGATAATCTTTTAAGGGAAAAGGACTGCAGCCCCAAATAGAAGGAGACGTAGAGGACAATTTTATCTAAGTGATTACCTCGTTCCTAAACACAGTACAACATCAGCCATTTTGCAGTGCCTCTCTGCTGGACCCATCTCCTTTGGTGGCAAAGCATCCTGAGAGAACGCGAGAATCAACTATGACACAATAAGGTGATAGACCTTGGTCTATTGGACAATAGCCAATGGTAAACCACCAGCTCAAGTACTTGCAATTTTTATTTTTTTCCTCATACTCATAAAATCTAATTGGTTGTCTACTTTTTTATCAGAACTTGTGTTCCTTAGGCACTATAATTCTCACTGAAGAGTATATAGAACTCCTTACATGCTATATTTACCAAATTCACCATTCATGGACTTGTGATCTAGAGATGGTGAAGAGTGAAGAAATGTTACTGGTTGTTGAATTAAGCTAATTATAAACGATTGTGGCTTTGAGAAATGATAAACATACTCATATATAGAGGTGTCAAAATGCACCAAGCCTCCCAGCATGTAAAAGGCTTGTCGCAGGCACACCCCAAACAAAATAAAATGGGCCAAGCCAGGACATGCTGAAGGGGTACATTGCCCCGAATGGGCTGTTCCATAACCTTTTTTTTGCCCCGGGCCAGCCATTTTGACACCTCTACTCGTATTATTTTGAAGATCATATTAACTTGCTAAGGATTAGAAATATCTTGTGCATCCATATTATCCAAGGTGTGACTTAGATACTTGAAAGCATCAGAATTTTGAAGCAGAATTTACTGGAGCTTTAAAGTTCTTTTTTTACCCTAAACATTTTTTAGCTCAATTGAAATACTTTTCTAGTTGCCTCTTCTGGAAGAACCATCAAGCTCTGTCAATCAATGGAATCAGGAATTATTTGTTTGTGCTTTATGACTAACGAAAATTAGAAACTTCTACAATGAAAAATTAGTACCTCCCAATCAAGAACCGTGTCCCTCAGTTTTGAGGTGCACCCTGCCTTGGAACAATTCCGTGAAGTCTCCTTCAGTCCAATTGTCTCAACTTCAAAATCCCTCAAATACCTTCACAGGAGAACATAGCATATTAATGTGTGTGTGTGGATAGAATATATATAAAGGCTGAATATAATGAAATGGCATAGTACATAATCCTTACTCAGTCCCACAGGATGGACATAGTTCCATGAAGGAGTTTCCGTGCAATTCAGAAAGTTTTTCCCTTGATATTCCGGAACGTAGATGAAGGGCATCAATATTCTAGAATTTTCAGACCATAGTCAAAAACGTCCACTAGACTAATGAAAAATCACTAACTTTCAATGATAAGACCTAAAGAGCTCAAAATGATTTAAGGGCACAAAATAATTGTTATTAAATTTCTCCACAGGATATTATAAAGTGAAGTTCATGCGAGCACGTTAAAATTGGCTCCTTGAGTAAAGGTGGTGTGTGAAGAAGAAATTAAGTTCATTCAATTAATTTGAAATCTTCACTAATACTTTCACAAAGTAAGCCAGTTAAACAGTAATTTGCTACCTGGCTTATAAGAAACTTCAGGATTCCAGCCTTCTCTAATCCAACCAATGCCATATGAGTTATGCTTGGCATTGCACGATGGAAAGGTAGTGATGCTTCTGGCAAGGCTTTGCCTTGGCGCTGCAAATGAGTGAAAAGTTAGCTCTGAATGTGACCTCTTTTTATTAATAAACAGCAATAAAAGATGGCGCCATGAAATTTCTTGAAAACATTTCTACGTACAGATTCACTCCCACAAAAAAGCAACAGAAACTCAGATGAAATACTGTTAATATATTCCTGCTCTTAGTAACAAAATATGTGTCCCATTTTCTCATTATTTATGTTCATCACTGTATCTCCCTGTAACTTTCCTTCTGAAGATAGAACCGTCTTGTAATTGGTCACATGAGTGACTGTGTACAAGTTCACTGTTCCAATGATAGAACTTTTTCATAAATATAGACCTTGAATTAATGGAAGTTCACAAAACCAATAGCCAGAACTTCGAGACTGCGTAGGATGGTTGGGCTCATGATTCAGGAAAGATGAGCTTCAAAATATAAATCCAAGGAAACAAGTTTTTTCCAGCAAGAAATGGTTGATAATTTTCTAATCTCTTACACGCGCATCCTAGCAGATTTAAGTAAAAAAAAAAAGGTTACTTATTTTGAAAGTACTCTTATCATATAAAATAAGTAACATACCTCCAACTTTGATCCATAAAAGAGTTATTTATTTTAAAGCTCACTCATTTATTTATGAGAGAATTTACTTACAAGTAAACTTTTTAAGCTTAGCCAAACATTCTCATATTAGTAGTAGTAGTAAAAACCACCATAGCCAGATGCTCAGCACTTTCTAGAATGCACAATATGGATTAAAGCCTGTCAAAAATTGGTTCTCAACAAGTATAGAGAGCTCTCTGTTCAAGAAATTTAACAGTCTTTACCTGAAGTGTCCAAATGCCTTTGGGCCCACGAAAGTCGGGTATGCCACAAGAAGTGGATATTCCTGCTCCTGTAAATACCACTAAGTGCTTACTCTGCATAAACGAACGAGAACGTAGAGTTCAATTGGCTTTAAATTAAAAACAAAGACTATAAAACAAATATTGGACCCGACCTTTTTGATAATCATGCTGAGGCGTTCAATCTGCAATTTTAAGACATAATAAAGTCAATGCTGTGAGCAACAAATGGGATCAAAAAATATTTATGAATCAAATTCAATGGGTATTTTAAATTATCAGTTCCTGTCATGATCAGCCAAATCTTTCATAAACATGAATTATTATTCCAATCAAATTCGACTTCCAATAAACAGGTTTCTGATCAATTATTGATAAATGAGATTCAAGCGCTTTTGAATTTTTCATGCACCAGTAATGCTTTAAGACATCAAACCAGGCACAGTATATGAATTCGAGCCAAAAAAAGGCACAGAATGTAAAATCCAATAATTTCCACAGCCAAATGCAAATACCCACAAATCAGATCTCATCAATGAACTATACAGAACACTTTAAAATCCCCAAACAGGGTATCCAAGTGCAGAATGGCCTAATCATCGAGCAGAAATGCCCAAATAACTATGTTTCACTGTTGCAGAGGAGAAGAAAATCACCATTAAAGCAGAAAACTATATAGCAATAATACATATCAAAAAGAACCCAGTAAAGCATTATCATAAAACTGTAAAAGGGAAAATGGGCGGAAAATGAAACGGAAAATCTCACTTTCTCTTGCAAAACATGTGGGGGTTCAAAAAACTCTGTCATTCCAACTTTGCCCACGTCTTCTATATAAGAAAGCTTCTCTGCGTACCCCAGAGACATGGTTTTTCTCGCTCTCTAGAAATGACGATCCCTTTTTCTTACACTTTTGCTTTCTGAATAGAAGTTGATCAAGAAAATGGAAGGAAAAAAACGGAGGGGGTCACTGTTAGCTACGAAGTACTGTATAAGGACGTGTTTGGCCTCTTCTAAGGAGACCCCAAAAGCCAAAGTGGGCTTTTTTATTCACACGCTGAATGTGAAGAAAGAATAAGGGCTCGTTTGAGGGCGCTTTTGCTTATATTTTTATTTTTGCTTTTGGTACGAGAGTTTTTCGAGAAATCTATATTAGGTCAACTTTCTCTTAAAAATTCTTCTAACAAAGCACTTTTAAAAAATTGTCAAAATATGTTCAAAGACGGCTTTTTAATTTTAACAAAATAAGTTTTATTGTTTGAATGTCCTGTCAAACAAGTTCTAAGTCATGGGTGTAATTACACAATTATCCATGTAGAAATAAATGATTCGAACATGTGGATTGTACAATAGGGTTTTTGTCTAAAGATCAGCACTATGGGTACAGAAAAACAACGGAAATTACACTTGGAAGGTTTTCGTTGGAAGAAGAAAAATAAAAAATAAAAACAAGCAAACAGGGTGCTAACGTGTTAAAATTCTGTAAAAAAATTAGGGAT